GTTTGTTGTGATTCCCTCTGAGACCATTACCTGTCCTGAGGAATTCTCCCTCACATCTCCCCCTTGTATGGTTGGATGGAATCAGTGCCTGTTATCCTCAGTGTCTTTATGATCAAGCACTCATAAAATTCCTAAGCTAAAGTCAGCTTAACTGCAATAATCAGGAGAAGTCACAAAAAAATGCAAAATTGGGTATTGGAGAAGTGTCTGGAAACAAAGGTCAATTAAATCAAAACATCAAAAAAAGAAACAAAACCAAGACAGAACAGACAAAAACCATTATGCCTTCAAGGGTCTAGAAACCAGCAATAGTGAAAACAAACCAAAACATCAGAAACAAAATGCTTCTGAAGCAAAGAAAGATGAAGAAAACACTTTTAAAGCAAACAAACAGGCAAACAAACAAATCTAAACAAGTAAGATCCTGAAAACCAGCTCAGAATAAACCAACGGAAAGTCAACAAAATACAGGGAGGTCCAGGCCCCAGGAAAGAACTCATAAATTTCCATTCAAGGAGGAAATGCCAGATGGTGGGCTACAAGGGAGCCTTGCCTGGTACAGTGCCAATCCAGTTGATCCCTTCAGTGAAAAGTATATTGTTCTTTGGGGCCCCATGCTGGGTGCCAAGAACTGTCAATGAAAGAAACTGCTCTCACCTCAAAGGAATGAAAGGTATGGGTTTATTCTGGAGCCTAATATGAGTGACCATGAGCCAAGAACACAGATTTAGGTTTCCCCAAACACCGTTTTCCAATAAGGTAAAAATCTCATGAGCCTCTTATTTATGAGCCTCATTCTTAGCCTTTTTGGTTGGTGCTAACCAAGGTTTTGTTAAGTTAATAATCTTCAAAAGCGTTTTTTAAATGGTTAGTCACAATATATTGAGTCAGAAACAGAGGTGGGCAAGGAGTGGCTATTTGGGGGATAAAGGTAACCCTAACTGTAGTTAGGATGAGCAACATTCCAAACACTCTGCAGTCACTGAAGTACTAATAAGTTGATCATCCTTACAGGAAGTTCAGTCCAAGATGCAGGATTTTTCTTGGAATTTTTGTTCACATAGTCTAAACAGAGTGAAGGTTCTGTCTATAGAGAAAAACTTCAAGTATATGGGGAGGTGATGCAGGGTAGGAAGCACCAGTGATCGTATTATATTACAGTTATTGATAACATGATCCAAATTAATAAACTATAGCATTCATAGTTATGATTCAAATCTCAAAGCGTGATTCCTAAAGCTTACTTCTCACAAAGCAAAATCAAATCAAATTTTCCTTGCTCTGGCTTTGTGGCAGTAAGGTCACAAGTATGTACTGTGCCAATAATTCTAAAGCCTTGCATCCATAGGAAAGGTTATTATAATAAACACCCCAGGAAACCTTGATTCTGAATAGAGTGGGGACAAACTCTAAGGTAGACAGGATAGGGAGTTGGAGAGGAAAATACTGTGTTACATTTCATATTTATGATGACTTAAAACAGAAAAGAATGAGTAAATAGAATGTAAGAAATATTTCAATACCTATCAAGCCAGAAAAAGAACATGAAAGAATTTCAACTGCTAAAAACATCCTAAAATATCTGGATTTTGTTCTGTCTTGGTTCCTATGGTGTTCGTGTTTAGATTAGTTAAACCCTTTCTTGAGGTAACTGGTAATTTAGGTTATTTCTGTATGCCTTAAAAGATTTATGAGATGATTAAAAACTTCTTTAAAACAATTTAATTCAATTGTGATAATATGAATATCTTTACAATCTAAAATTTAATTAAGCCTTTAATTACTTTCTCCTGATTTTCTGTAAGCTAGACTCCCATCTTGTTTACATACTGCTTCAAAATTCACAAACAATTTAAGCAACTGTCCTTATTGGTCCCCCTGACGCTAATACAGATCATGATCAATCTTATTTACAAGAATAATTTCTCCAAAATAAAAAAGGTAAATATTGAAGTTTCCATCTTGCATATACTTCCAATTACTTCTGTTGTTGGAAAAATCAGGTGCAGACTATGAGTTCAATATATAACCTTATGAGCCTATAAAATATACATATTGACTATATCACACACATCTTAACTAAGAAACAATAGAAATAATAACTTGGAATAGCACCACAAAATAAAGAATATAGTAGATTATAGACATACTACTCTCATTTGATTATATTACATTGTATATATGTATTTAATATTGCAATGCACCAAAATTATTGCAATTATACCAATTGAAATCAAACAAAAATTAATACTTAAAGCTATATAAGGATTTTTATGAACACTATATTTGGAAATTATTGACATATCATCTTTAAGTTCAAGTCATTACATCGTAACTTTAAGTTCAATTCTCCTGCCTTGTTGTTGCCTCCGCCCATTTTAGCACAAGTATTGCAACACATCCTTGGGTTCTTTAGATGCTTGTGTCATCTTGTACTGGGTGGTGCATAGTCCTATGAGCATACATTTACTTAGCAAAGACATTAGTTGCATTTCTCCTATGTTATATATGAAAAAAACTAGGACATGAAAAGCTTATGTAATCTGTGGCCAGAGTAGGGTCTGGTAAAGTCTTTACCAATGCTAGATGAAGATCTTTTAATTTTCAACTGTTTTATTATTATCATGTGCATGTGTTGGCAGTCTATGTGCCATAAAACATAAAGCATGTCTGGAGCTCTCTGGAGTCTCTTCATAGTACAGGTTCTGGGTGTCAAACTCAAGCCATCAAGCTAACATGACAAGCACTTTTACCATTAAACTGTCTTAACAGTCTCCAGAGGAAGAACTTAAAGACCTCTTCTAACATTTATAATCACTCCCCAATGCATAAAGTTATATAACACCCCTGAGTACTGTGTTCATGCTTGATATATATATATATTCTCTTCAAAGATTTTTTTCAATAAAATTCCACAAATCATCCTATCTGTCCAATAATATTTTTGTAGAATTTTATTTTAATGATAATTACCACATGGCAATATTTTATTTATGAGTTTGTGTCTTTTAGTGACAACAAAAGCTTACAAGTAAGGATTGAGCCCCTCCCAGTGTCTGGAATAATATGAAGTAGATCCATGTTCAATCCAATAACAAATCACATACAGGACGTTAAGACTATGAAAAGCTTATTTTATTTCAAAAAAGTTTCTAGAAATTCATAGCATCAATATATACTAATAGAAATGCTTTTAAATAAGAATTTGAGGAAGTTATTAGTAGAGTGAAATGATTCATGAATGAGTAGAATGTAGGTTGGAACTCAGTTTCAATATTCTGTGAAAATCTCCTGTATGAGGTAAATGGTGAGGCAGGAAAATACAGTCTTAAAATTTATGTATGAAATAGGATTTTCCATTTAGAAAATAAGACTGTAACTTATATTTTTAAATTACGTGTTTTGCAAAGCAAAAAATCTTTTGTAATGCATTCCATAAAACTTCTTTCACCTGCTGATTTCTTAATGTATAAATGTAGGGGTTGAGCAGGGGGGCTATTGACGTATACAGCAAAGCTACACCTTTGGATACAGTCACTCTTTCTTTCGCAGATGGTTTAACATACATAAAGATGCAGCTGCCATATGTTATGGAGACAACAATCATGTGGGAAGAACAGGCAGAGAAAGCCTTGCTTCTTTGCTGTGAAGAAGGGAAATTCATTATTGTCTTAATGATGTAAGTGTAAGAGAGACACACTAATACCAATGTGATTGCAAGTGTCACCACAGCTAAGACAAGGGACATTGTTTCCAGGACATGTGTGTCTGTGCACGAAATCTGCAGGATAGGAGAAGTTTCACACATAAAGTGATCAATTATTCTGGAGTCACAGAATTCCAGCTTTAGTCCCATGACCAAAGGGGGAAAGATAATTAAAAATCCAGTCACCCAGGCTGAGCACAAGTTGGTAGCACACTTTGCTCTTCATGATGATCTGGTAATGTAGCGGTTTGCAGATGGCAACATAGTGGTGATAGGACATGGGAGCCAGGAGATAAAACTCTGTGACTCCCAGCAGAAGTAAAAAAAATAATTGAGCTGCACAATTATTATAAGAAATAGTTTTGTCTCCAGTCACAATGGTTATCAAAAACCTAGGAATACACACTGTTGTGAATATGATTTCCAAAAAGGAGAAATTTCGGAGAAAGAAATACATTAGTGTCTTGAGGCGAGAATCCAGCAGGGTCAGGAGCATGATGATTAAGTTTCCAAATAGGCTTAGCATGTAGTTTAGAAAGAGAAACAGAAAAATTACAATTTGTAATCGTGGGTCATCTGTCAATCCCAAGAGGATGAAGTCAAGTTCCAGGGACTGATTCTTCAGTCCTCATTTCTGAGCATTAGCAAATAAGCAAAGGAAATAAGAATGAGAATATTTTATATGTGCATTAGAATTTATACTCTACACCAAAGCATAAAAAGGAATGTGTTATAAAATGAACCCATTTGCAAACAGTTTTTTAGCCTGAAACTTCAGGTAACACAACATTTTCCACAATTGTTCCCCTAGAATTGGAATAATATATATTTTGGATAAATTTACATTTAACACTATAATTTACCGGCATTCGTCTTGAATGAGGATCCTCCTGTCTCAGTCTTTGGAGTAGCTGAGACTACATGCTTGTGCTTCAATACAGGCCAGCTTATTTTTGGACTTTTAAAAGAGTTTACAAAAGCAGAAACTTGGATTGATGTTTTTATTCTTTTACCTTTCTCTTATTACTATTGCTGTCCTTTCCATGTATTACTTTTATAAACCAATTTGGAAAAAAATTGCTTCATAAGCATAATGTGATTTTCTAAAAAGCAATATTAGTGAATAATTTTAATACTGATTTCTAAAGTTGTGTACACTTTAGTTACTCAGAAGTCCTAAATTTTTATCCTGAAAACTTTGTTGTTGTTGTTGGTTGGTTGATTTTTTTGTGGGGGTTTTGGCCTTTTTTAAAAAAAAATTTTGGGGGGGGGGTGTTTGGAGACAGGGTCTCCATGTAGTCAAAGGTTGTCTGGCACTGCCTCTGCCTCTGGTAGTGCTGGTATTAAAGGCATGTGTCATCACACGAAGCTTTTACCATATTATTCTTTTTTTAAAAATTATTTATTATTTTTATTTTATGTCTATGAGTGTTATGCCTGCATGTAGATAAGTGTACAAATGTCATGCAATGCACGTGGAGGACAGAAGAGGCTGTTGGATACCCTGGAACTGGAGTTATGGACAGTTGTTAGCTGCCATGTGGGTGCTGGGATTTGAACCCAGGTCTTCTGCAAGAACAGTCAGTGTTCTTAACCATTAAGCAATCTCTCCAGCACCTTCCTTGCTATTCTTAAATCTCATTTTAAAAATCTTTCCTTAGTTGTAAGGACTGTTAAACATTATTCAGACCACTTCTGAAAGGAACTGGAAAAATACAGTGAGCAAGATAACAAAGACAGACCAATGCCATGTGCTCTTCTTGTGGATTTTGGCTCCGAATTTTAGATTTGAGTATATAATCCTAGGTAGCCATAGGAAGTAGGAAAGGAGAAATGAACCATGGGAGAATGGAGCAGAAGGATCTCCAGATGGGAAGCATAGTAGGCCAAGGTGTTATAAAAAGGGAAAAGGGAAAAACAAGGTTGGAGTCCTTAATAGAAATGAACCATGGGAGAATGGAGCAGAAGGATCTCCAGATGGGAGCATAGTAGGCCAAGGTGCTATAAAAAGGGAAAAGGGAAAAACAAGGTTGGAGTCCTTAACTTGGGAGGAGAGAGGGAAGGTAATACAAAAGGAGACAGAGAAAGGAGAGAGAAACAATATTAAGGATGTTTGAAAAGCCGTAGGAAAACATTATTTTATATGGTTACATATTTTATACATAATTATATAACTATATATAATGTATATACATTTTATACATGTGGTTTATGTATGGTTTAATGCAATTACATTATACAAAGTGACAATGTTCCCCCGAAAACTATCAACAACCTAAGAAAC